CTTCCAACAGTGTCACTCCACAGAGCACTTAATTGAAAATAATTGGCACGCCTGTTTTTCACGATTATTCTTCTTAATGCTCTTCGGTCGGCATTTGTGATATTACTTTTTTTCACATATCACAATATTTCTCACACTGTACCGCGATAAGTCCAACAAAGTTGCAATTTCTGAGTTTGATTTCCCAGAATTAAAAAATGTAATCATCAGTAACCGAATTTTCTCACTAATAACCTTTCCTCTACCCATTTTGAAATGTCATGACTTTTATTTTTCACAGCCACCTATGCGTTATAGACTTATTTTGCATTGAAATGAAAATAGTTTGATATGCTGTAATTGCAACATGTGTTAATATTTTAAACCTATAACACCCTGCTACATTTTTATTGTTTTTAAGTTTTGAGTCTAAAATTATTCATAAAACTTGTGTTAATGTATTCACTTCACAATCTGAAATTATAATCTATGTTAATGTCCTCAAAATTGCACAAAACAGATTTCTGCCATCCTTTTAGGGGTAAAACGACATTCCTTTGGCTCGCTGCTCAATTTTTAGACGTACCAACGCCATATTTTTACCTACCCCCAGCGTCATCTCGCCCCACTGGACACAAACCGGCTGGCTGCCCGTTTTATCGCTAAGGTCAAATGTAACCCCACAACCCACTCATGTCATACACATAATAGATAAGTAAAATGATTTTAACTTTTGTTCGGTTCAGCACTCAGCATAGATGTGCAAGTATGTACGTAAGAAAGAAAGAAACTGAATAAAATTTGAAGATGCCTATTGAATTATTTTCGAAATCATTAGTACTCTCAGTATCTTAGTCTAGGGGGTGGAGGTACTTTATAAATTAGTAGCAGAATACACAGAAAAAATAAGACAAATATTTATGTATTTGATGAATGTATTACCATAAATAGTTATTATATTTGATGGGGAAAATATTGAATCAATCTACTTGACGCCTAAATATACACAATCCTTATCATTTAGGACCTTATTGGCCATAGATATTTTCTATGAAGACCATCCTGCGTAGCGCCACTGTTCAATTAGATCATTTAATTCCTCAATAAGGCTGAATGAAGAAACAGCAAGGCCAACGTAGATTGTTGCCGTTTCTACCTACCTAAATGTTATTACGTCATCCATCCAATGTAGCTTTTTATAATTGGTAGTACAATTTTATTATTCACACACCGCATAATATGAATGAGCATTTCTATTTAAAGCTTCAACTATTGTATGTTATTTACTCATTATGGTAGACGTAATATTCAATATTAAATAAGTGACATATATGACACATGACCTTTGATAATCTGTTTTTCGAGATCGCAGGGGTATTATGTAAGGAACTTCAAAAAACACCTATAAGATGTCATCTGACAGACTAGGTAGATCAATTACGATTTTTTACGTTTTTTGAGTGTTTTAAAAGCTTTGAGAAATACGGGAAATCACCACCGCGCCCGCGTTATGTGTAATTACTGTTAGCTTGTATAAGGCTTGTAACTCGACAGTGTACGGTGAATATAATTATTTCTTATATCTCTCATTTTTGAAATTGAAAATTTCCATAAGTAATTTCCAGAATGGATAAGAAATGGATGCGCAACTAATTTCTAACTTTGAATCTCGGTAAGTGTATTTGAGACAAGAATCCAATGGATTTATCATCAATACATTATTAGCACAGTAATACCATCTCTGAAGCAGATTTTACATCACATCATAGCCAAACATTGATAACGGAAGCCTCATGACGGTTAGGCGACTCGTACAACTACAAAACGAGTTTACAAAAGTGTCCATCGGCTAGTGCTAAGTTAACATTTTGTCGAAAAACCTACATAATGTCAAAAAAAGAAACAGTACAATGTCAAAAAAATTAAGGGACACGATATCAAGGCCTCGGCCGATGTGGGGGAGGGGGACGAGAACAGACGTTAAACTATGTTACCGACATCTCTGCCTATGATAAGGTAATGCATATTATGTACATAGCTCTACAGGCCTGAAAGGCCCAAGGATTTATTTGTAATTTCTTTCCATTTCTTCTTATTTTGACACTTGAATTTCCAGTTTTCCCGGTCTCCCTCTCCTCTTCTTGCCTCCTATGCTTCTGCTAACAATCATTTTTGGAATCCTATTTTCTGCCATCCTTTCTTCATGCCCTAACCATTTCAACCTTTGTGCTCTTATATGTATATAGTGTGATACTTGATTCTTTATACATATCTGCAAGGTCTTGGTTTGTTCTTCGTTCCCATACCCCTTTGTTCTGTTTTCCTTCAAAAATTTTCCTTAATAGCTTTCTTTCTCACACTTCAAGGGTATTTATATCTGCCTTCCTCAAGATCCATGTTTCACAAGCAAATGTAACTGATGGTCTTATTACTTATATAATTTAATTTTTAGTTTATTACTTATCAACTTGCTTTTCAGGAGATGGTTCAGGCTATATAAATATCTATTTCCCTTCCCCAGTCTTGCCTTGTGCCCGGTTTTCTTGCAAAGGTTGATCCCAAATAGACAGACCTCTTCAAAATTATATATTTTGCCACTGCCTGTTTTTCCCTTTAGGCTTTCTCCTGTCATAAAATCATCATCTGTCATATATTTAGTTTTTTCCTGATTTATTATTAGACCCTTTTCCTTTACTTTCTCTTCAAGTGTATTTAGTACTTGTATCAATTCTCTTTTGCTTCTAGCAACAATTGCAATGTCGTCTGCGAACGCTAAACATTGGTGCTTTCTACTGTATAATATACCATTCCTAATTAAATTTACTGCTCTGATTATTGAATAAAACTGTTGACAACGGTTCCCCTGGCCGCAACCCCACTTTTACCTTGAACTTTTCAGAATATTTTCCTTCAACTTTTATTCTATTTTCTGTTTCCTGAAGTGTCAACTTTATTAGCCTTATAATCTTTTCACTATTTCCTAGTCCTCTTAGTGCTTGGTATACTGCCGATCTTCGGATTGTATCATATGCTTTTTTGAAGTCTATAAACACTACATATGTATCTTTTTGATGTTGATAACTCTCAGCCTCGATCTCTCTAAGCGTAAAAATTTGGTCTACCACTCCCGCCCGTTCCTGCTCTAAACCCACATTGGTATTCTCCTATTCTTCCTAACATTTTCGAAGAAAGTCTACTCTTAATACAGGTCGCTAGCACTTAATATTCAACATTCAATAGGGCTGTCCCTCTATAGTTTTCACAGATTCTTTTATCCCCTTTTTTAAACATTGGGCTTATTAACGCCTCACTCCATTCACGCGGCATTCTTTCTGTTTCCCAAATTTCCCCTATCAAACTGTGCATTACCTCAATAACTTTGTCCCCTCCGAATTTCAGCATTTCGCCTGTGACTTCATCTATACCAGCACTTTTATTTGATTTTAAGCTTCCTAACGGGCGATTTTTTAAGAGGTATAGGATTTGATTTTCAAAAAAAACACAAAAAATTTGAAGAAACGATTAAATCTTTATTTGAGTCGATAGAACGGTCGATATAATTTAATGTTTAAAGATTATTTCATGTAAATGTTGGCCGCGGCTCCGCTTTAGATGGCCCATGCGCAAGGTCCAATTTTGGCACACTCTCTCCTACATATCGGCCGGTATCTCACGAATAAATGCTATCCCTGTAGACATTAGCCTTAACATGGCCCCACAGGAAATGGTCCAACGGCGTTAAATCACACGATCTAGGCGGCCAATTGACGGGCCCCAAACTTGAGATAAACTGTTCACCGAACTCGCCTCTCAATAGGGCCATTGTTTCGTGTGCGGTGTGGCATGTGGCACCGTCTTGTTGAAACCACATGTCAGCCAAGTCCAGCTCTTCCATTTTGGGCAAAAAAAAGTTTGTTATCATCGCTCGGTAGCGCTCGCCATTCACAGTTACGTTCCGGCCATTGTCGTATTTGAAGAAGTACGGCCCGATGATGCCACCGGCCCATAATCCACACCAAACAGTGTTTTTTTCGGGATGCATTGGTAGCTCTTGCAATGCTTCTCGCTGGTCTTCACTCCAGATGCGGCAATTTTGCTTGTTAACGTACTCATTCAACCAGAAATGAGCTTAGTCGCTGAACACAATTTTTCGATAAAAATGTGGACCTTCCTCCAACTTTGCCAGCGCCCATTCACTAAATTGGAAACGTTGTGGGACGTCGTGTGGCTTCAATTCTTGCACCAGCTGTATCTTATAAGGTTTTACACCCAAATCCTGTCGCAAAATTTTCCACGTAGTGGAGTAACAGAGGCCCAATTGCTGCGAACGGCGGTGAATCGACATTCCACGGTCATCACTAACACTGGCGGATACAGCCGCAATATTTTCTTCAGTCCTCACTCTACGTCTGCGTGTTGGTGGTTTAATGTCCAATAATGTAAACTGGGTTCGAAATTTAGTCACAAGCTTCCGAATAGCTCCCTCAGTAGGCCGACCAAATTGCCCATAAATTGGAAGCAGTGATCGATGCACTCTCTTAACCGGCATGAATTTTGATAGTAAAATTCAATAATTTGCAAGCGTTGTTTGTTCGTAAGTCGATTCATGGTTAAATTATAGACCAAACTGAACAAGTTTGACAATGACACAAGACACGATTCACGCGTCATCTGTCAAAACAGTGTTGCCAAAAAGATACTAGCAAAAAAATCACCCATTAGGATCTTTTTTTATCTAGGTCTGATTTATCATCCAACACCCTTTCATGTTCCTCAAAATCGTTAATTCCGTGCTCGTCGTCTTCCCGAAAGTTTTCATTCAGCAGTTCCTCGAAATAGTCTTTCCATCTTGCTAACATTTCTTCTTCATCTGCTATGAGTTGTCCATCGTTACTGTTTATAAATACTGGCTTTGCTTCGAAACCGTTTTTCTGTCTTGATATAGATTTGGAATCTCCCCATTTTTATAGAGTTCTTCTATTTCACAAAGCTGTCTTTCTTTATCTTTCCTCTTCTTTTACCTAAGCAGTTTCTTACATGCTTTCCATTGTTCGGTATACTTTAGTTTATTTACTTCGGTCGCCTTACGTATCTCTAACAAACGCAACTTATTCCTCTCTTTTAATTCCCTTTCGCACTCCTCATCGAACCATTTATTTTTGCTTTTACTCCTTTTTTGATCACATTCTGACACACACTTTTCCATTTTCTCCTTTATCAAATTCCATTTTTCATCCACACTGTACAATTCCTCTATTTTTGCTGTCTCTAGCTCTTCATTTAATATTCTCTTATATCTATCTCTGTCTTCCTGTTTTTCTAATCGTTTTGTGTTTATAACGGTTCTCTTTTCATTTTTTCTGTTCCTTTGCACAGTTAATATCGGTCTAAATTTTACTCCCACCATGAAATGGTCACTGTCTGCATATAATCCTCTATATGTCCTGATATTTTTTATACTTCTTACCTCTTCCTTTTGTATCAAAACGTGGTCTATTTGGTTTATAGTTTTCCCATCTGGAGATTTCCAAGTTCCCTTATATATTTATTTTCCTTCGAAGTCTGTGCTTTTGATAACCATATTGCTTTCCTTTGCAAAATCTATGAGAAACTTTCCATTCTCTGGTGAAAGACTATGTTTACTATATTTGCCAATTGTTCTTCCATATATTGCTTCTTTGCCTATTTTTGCATTTGCATATTAATGATAATCTTGTGCGGAGGTAGGCTAAAATTCAAAATTAATCTTCACCCTTATTCCGTACGATGAAAGATAACGTCACCGGCTCATTATTGCGCGACGATCTGCGCAATGCACACATAGATGTCGCACCACCATAACGGTTGACCTTCTAGCAGTCGGAGTACTAAGCAATCAAAGATCAGAGCAACATTAGCTTTCTTTGCATATATGCATAAATAGACACAACTGAAATCGATATGTTTGCTTTCCGTCTCCGTAACGACGACCAACCGTAGACAGCGCTGTTTCGTGCTCATTATCGGTATAACAATCTTATCATTACAGCAAAAAATATATCTGCATTATTTCCATTATAGCAAGAGGCTGGGAAGGTGCAGGGGTGGGAGGTACAAGCCCTGTGAGAAGCGTGAAGGATATTCGGTAACGCGCCCTAACGCTGATTACATGGTATATCAATTGAGCGCTTATTTATTATTGGTGATTCCAAAAACTTTATACTCGCATTTTGCTGTCTATAACACTAAGGTTGCTCATCGCCTGCCTTCCAGGATAAAGCCTTCGGTCAAGCGTAATCTCACAAGGCACACGGTATCAAAAAGTAAAATCAGGCGCAATCAACATTTGGTCGAAAAAATGTTTTCGAAATCGTTAAGGAACACTATGTATATTTACAACCTGTTTTATAGCCACTAGTTCCTTCCAAGTGGCATAACGATAGTCGAATCATGTGTAATTGTAATTATGCTCAATATAAATGGCTAAGCTTGAACCGTATCCAAGGCTATCCATTCATTAACATTTCCACACCCACAGTTCGCTAAATGTCTCCAAGACTCGCTAAAAATATCTTAAGGCAGTGTGATAAAATTCGTACGAAATCTTTCTCAAAAACACACGGATGATATCATCAACAATTTTGTTGTCTTTTCAAGTTGGCAAACGGTATACGTTTATTTCATCCTTTATGTCATCATTAAATTCTTGTTTGCGAGTTTGTGAAACTATTTTTATTTATAAAGCTGAGCTTCACGAATCACATTAGGCAATTATAGAACTCTTATTGTATTCAACATCTTGAACGTAGAAATCCTTAGTTATTCAGTTTCTTCTTGTATGCGTTTTCTGCGAGAACTTTCCTGCCCAAATAAATAATTCAAACTATCGACCAAGTCATAGATAAGTTAAAAAATAACGTATGAATGTAAAAATCTAGGCCAATGATACGCCTTTTTGGCAGGCGCATATTTTTAAGGAAACGTAGGCAGAAAAACAATGCGTGATGTAGGCAATTTGTTTTCGTTAAACCAATCCCAAAAAGGAACGGGCTTTATTTAGTCACATGTATTTTTTTATTACTCTGGTCACGCAAGTTAGCGATAGTAAAGCCGCGTATAAAAATATTACAGCTGTAATTACGAATCAATTAGAGCCGTATAGTTTCGTTAACATTTATGCGGCATCTGTTTGTATCATTCTCATTTCCTGTCACCTAAATGTTAGGATTATTATGGCGTTGCTGTTGAATACATGCATTTTTTAAAATTCAAGATGGGTTGATAGGGCATTGTCAGTAAACTTGAACCGAGCTAGACAAACATATACACGGTGACCAATATATAATTGACAGATCAGTTTATCCGATATCTTCAAAATAAAATAATGAAATAATGATACATTTTCTATGTTCATATTTTATTAAAAGTTAGGAGTTGTGTATGAAAAGTGATACCTACTAATATTATAAATGAGAAACTAACGTTAATAATTAATCACGCCAAAATGGCTGAACGGCAGCAGTATTACATATCTTGAACAGTGATACTATGTCGATTTTTTTTGACATTATGTAGTTTTTTTGTGGCATCAGGTAGAGGTTTTCCTATAAAGTGTTAATTTTGAAGTAGCTGTTGTTCGCTTGATGTGTAATCGTTGTGTAGCTGTACGTGTTGCCTAAACGTCACGACACTTGAGCTATTGGCTCTGATGTGATGTAACATCTATGGTGCAACGGCAGTGCATAGGTTTTTTTATATACCGAAGCAACCGCGCAGGTTTAAATGCCGAGACACGCTATGATGATCCAAAAGAAATTTTGTTAATCCGATTTTTGAACTGTCTAAGGTTAGTAGACCTGGGAAAAGCTTCCTCTTGTAGATTGTTGCACAATCTCGAAACCCTCGGGACAAAGGAGCGGTCATATCGGCCAGTTCTGGATGTACGAAGTTCAACACGATTAAGATGGGAGTCCAAAGTCAGGCGGGTCTGTCTGACAGGCGCATAGCGTGGCGGCATCATGAAAGAGAGCTCTGAGGAGCAAAGGCCGTTGGTGTAGCGGTAGAAGAGACCTCGATCGCCGACGGCCCGCCGGTGCGAAAGGGTCCCGAGACTGGCTGTTAGAGAAGAGTCATCGATCAGTCGGACAGCCCTCCTCTGGACAGCATCGAGCATAAATAATGTAGTCGGGGCGGCAGCACCCCAAACGTGTGAGCAATACTCGCGGCTAGTACTTCTTAGCCCTAAACAAATAGCCTAGCTTTTCCCAGCAGCTGCCGCTATTGACAAGACGTGTTCGTGCCAGATCAGGTCCTCGGTGATCTGGACTCCGACTAGCCGAAATGAATGGTCGTTTGGCAGAACTCGGCCATCCATCGAAACCGGATGAGCACTAGGATGCTTTTTGTTCGACAGTACTGTGCTTTGGAAGCATTAAACTGTACAAGATTGTTGCGACCTCAAGCAGTGATAACTTCCAGGTCTCTCGTCAGAGATGAAGTCGTCGCTTTTTCCAGCTCAGCGACACAGATCGGTTTGTCGCTCTGAATTCCTGCATGTGGAGTGATGTCATCAGCGAAGCTGTGAATTGGGTTGATCGTACAGGAAAGGAAGTCGTTGATATGTAAGAGAAACAGTGTCGGAGCCAAGACCGATCCCTCGGGAACACCCGCGTTGGATGAAGAGGAGAACCTGTCAATTACGACGGATATCTTGCGACCTGAGATAAAGTCAGCCATCCATCTGCAAATGTTTCATATTATAGCTAAAAAATAGCTAAGAATTAAATATTTTAATCTTTTTATAGAAGCTTTTCTGGGAGGCCATAGGATGGAACTTTGCTTAAGAGGGCAGCGTGCCACAGCTGATCGAACGCTTTCGTGATGTCAAGAGCTACGACATGAGCCTCATCATAAGACTGAATGAGTTTACTCCACAATTGGGTGACGTAAGCTAGAAGGTCCCCTGTGCATCGCTGGTGCCGGAAACCATACTGCCTGTCACTAATCAAGCTGCTGTGACGTTCGAGGTAGTCCAGAAGTTCGCGATTTATGCACCTCTCCATCACCTTACTTATGACAGAAAGCAAAGCTATAGGCCTGTAGTTGTAAGAGTCGGTCTTAGATCCTTTTTTTGGTATGGGTTGGACATGAGCAAATTTCCAGTTTCTGGGAAGGTGCCGGATTCATAAGACATGTGGAAGAGGCGCGAAAGAACTGGAGCAAGCTCCGGTGCACACGTCTTCAGTACAATGGCAGCAATCAAGTCCGGACCAGAAGCTTTGTTGATGTCGAGCGACAAGGGCACTCGTCTTACGCTCTTATGCCTGAATGTCACCTCCCGCATAGTGTAGGGAACCCTTTGAATTGACGGCACTTGGGCGCGGGGGGGACGAGCATGGTGGGGTTGGCGGCAAAGATCTTGGCAAGCACTTTCGCCTTGACTTTTGGGCCGGATACAATCGTTCTATCCTGACACGTAAGTGGTGGAAGCCTACTGTGTGAGAAGTTCTTTTCAATCTGCTTGGCCAGCGTCCAGAAAAACCGACTGCCGTGGCGCTGCAACATTACCCTGTGCTTAACTTTTATGTCGTGCTGGTTTTTGGCATTGCGAACCGCCTCGTTGTGTTTGTTTCTGGACTCGACGTCCGTCGGCTTGTCTGTTCTCTACAGTGGGGTTTTGTAAGAAGATTCTGTGTGCCTTGATCTTCTGCTGGCGAGCAGTGTCACACGATTTGTTAAACCCTGGTTTAGGCACTTTCACTGTATGAGGGATGTATTTCTCCATTCCGACGTGGATAATTTCGGTTATCGAAGAACAGACAGCCGACGCATCCACATCAGTGAAACAGACATCTCTCCAAGGAAAATTAGAGAAGAAGTCTCTGAGCCCCTCCCAGTCGGCATGTCCGTAATGCCAAATTTTGCGGTCTGGGCGAGTTTCTGCTGCCACAGCGGGTTCTGACCGAAACCTGACCTCCACAACACCGTGGTTTGAGGTGTGTATAGTGAGTATTTGTGTGCTAATAATGTGTTGATGATAGTCCCTATGGGTCACACTCACAGCGCTCGTAGCGAGCAAGAAGGGAATAAACTATTTGCAGACTAGTAGCTATCTAGTCAGCAAGTTGAAATTGTTTCCCGTTTTTTCTTTGATATGATATAGGTTTTTTAAGTAATAGCCCTGCCGATCTGGTTGAAAGTTGGTACAGAGATTGATTATAGTCTGGAATAGCACATAGGCTACTTTTTATCCCGGGAAATAGCTTTAAATATCTACTTCATGGCTGCAGCCCAAACAACTTAATGGAAATTGACATGAGGTGTCCAACCGAAATGAGTAACAGCATTAAAGTACGGGATTTGCACCGTGTATCTACTGCATTTCGTCATTAGCGTGATCATCTTGATTTAGATTTCTTAGGTGTTTTGTTTTACTTCAAGGTTATGTTTTCTTTTTGAACCTTAATAAATTTCAGACTGATAAAAGATATGATTAAAATCAAGTTTCATCAGCCTGAAATTTCTTGAAATTCAAATATTACCTCAAACTAGAACGCTGACGCAGTCAGAACAGTAGAAATCTACAAATACCCGTGCCATTCTGGAGGACGGGAAAAACAATAAAATCAAAGAGGCCATAAAGGCGTCCTACAATTGTATGAACGACTGATGATATGGCCTTAAGAAAGCATATAAACATGGTTCTATCTGCGAACTCATCGTTCATTTTGCCTATTGTATAGAGGTTTGTACGAAGGTTTCTATAGAGGTCGTCTATTAAATACTAGAGCACCCCAAAAAGTTGACAACCACGCATTTTTGCAAAAAGAGCTTTTGAGAAACGTTTCAGCATATCAAAAACGCAATTTGTCGATTTCTTCAAATGTTTAAAAGCACGGGTAACAAGCTTATACGTCTAAGATGTTTAAGTTCAGCTGAATTTGAGAAATTTGTCAAATCCCTTAGATATCATTTTGAGGTTTATTTTGGGGCCATCTACAAATTACTTTTGTTATCCTAAAGCTTTCTCTCTTCGTGTTGAGATTTAGACGTGATGTTGATATATATTAGACTCACACTTGGATATTGTTGCATTGAAATGTTGAATAATAAACATCTATTACCAAAGTAACTATTGCATTGAATGTATGAAACATGAAATTAGAGGCCACCATAAGGCGCCAGCGCATAGGCCACTCCTACGGGCCCTTGTATCCAAGCTCCTTAACGTCCTAGGGATCCAAAGTGATGAACCCCAGTATAGTTTGCCTGCAGTAGCTAGGAGCCTCACAGCGACACAGAACGTGCGCCGAGGTTTCTCTACCACTATTGCATTAGTTAGAATACTGCATTTCTTCCTCAGAAACTAGTTTATTTACCGTCTTTTTCAAATTTTGACGCCAATGCATTCCTTTGATGACTACAATTACAAAATATATCATTGACCACGTTATGTAACAAAAATAGATATTTGTTCACTTGTCAAATATTTATTTATTACATTTCCCAAGCATAAAAGCACTTAATCAATTTATCAAGGTTGGATATACCTTCTGCCACCCCCTACAACCCCCAACTCCCGATTTTCAACCCTACAAATATTTTTCTGAAAATAACCATCTGACTGTGAAACGTCAAAGTACGAAGTTTGAGCGATTTTTTATTTTTTTCGTGTTTTTGCCTCTAGCTCCGTCGTCACTAGACCAATTTTCAAAAACTTTATCGTCCTTAACATATTAGTAACCTTGTATGAAAATTTTATCAAAATCCGACCAGTACTTTTCAAGTTATAGACCGGCCCCAGGATAGACAGATTGATGGAAATGAGTGACATAGTTTTTGGTGATGCACATGTAATATAACATCAAAAAAACACAATACCCATTTTCGAAATTTTTCGCGATTACAATATTTCTTCGCCTAGTGGCGTAGGAAGTAAAAGTGTTTTGTGCTGGGGGCCCCACTATATTTGTCCCATCTGTGTTATTCCCGCTGAACACGAATCTGAAGTCAAAATGGGGGTCGCTAGATATCTTTATCTAGTGAAAGTAATTTAGGCATTAAGATCACACATTTTGGTTTTTTTGAGATCTCAGAGATATCTAAGAGCTGGACATCCACCAGTCACCCCCAATTCTTCACACTTCAGATCCTTGTTCAGCGGGAAAAATGGGAAAACATAGTGAGTCCCCGAGTACACAACACTTTTTATTTTTGTGGACCAGTGATATGATTTTTATCGATTTTAAGCGTTTTCTCTAAGGATTATATTGAAAAATAAACATAAACTAAGTGACATATAAATCCGAACACCCAGTTTAAATGGTTTTATTTTAATAAAATTTTGTATAAGTACTTAATGAAGCATAATAAGTAAATGATAAAAATTTCAAAATGATTGCACTGCTTTAACGCCCTTTGACCTTTAATAATGTGTGGATGCACCCTGATGTGCTACGCATTCTCCAACGCGCCTAGGCATGCTTCTGATCAGGAGGTCAATGTCCTCCTGTGGTATCTCATTCCAGGTAACCACCAACTCCTCTCGAAGTGCTTCTAGAGTCTGAGGAGGACGTTGCAAATTGAGCAATCTCCTACCCATCATATCCCACACGTGCTCAATTGGGGATAAGTCGGGAGATCTTGGTGGCCATGGTAACAATGTGACATCATTATGTTGAAAGAAGTCTATTGTGACTCTTGCAACATGTGGTCGGGCATTATCTTGTTGGAAAGTTGGATCTGCCAGGGTGTCAAGATAGGGTAAAAGATGGGGTTCTAGAACTTCGTGGATATAACTCTGCGCGTTCATGTTACCTCTGATGAAGATTAAAGGTGACCTGGAACCATAAGCTATAGCACCCCAAACCATAACTCCAACAGTGTGATGAACATGTCTTTCAACAAAAAACTGTGGATTCCTCCTTTCACCACGTCGCCTTCTAACCCTGGCACGACCATCGTGCATGCCTAAACAAAATCGAGACTCGTCACTAAAAACAATACTGTTCCATTCCTGATCCCAGAGTGACCGTTGTCTGCACCACTCAAGGCGATTACGTCGGTGTTCTCGAGTTAAAGGGAGGACCCAGTGTGGCCGGTATGAAAACAAGCCAAAACTTCTCATTCGTCGGTAAACACTTCGCATGCCAATAGGTCTTCCGTGTTCTGCAAACCATTCATTTGCAATGGACCTGGTAGTGGAGAAACGGTCCCTTAAGGCCAATAATCTTAGGCGGCGATCTTCACGGTCTGTTGTTCTACGGCGGCGTCCAGTGCCCCTTGCTCTTTGCGTACGGCCTTCTCGAAATCATGCCTGACAACACCTAACCACAGTGTCTACACTTCTTTGCACTCTAACTGCAATTGCCCGAAAAGGAAGTCCAGCTTCCCGAAGTCCCTCTATACGGCCCCTATCAAACTCACTAAGTTGACGAAATCGTACAGGTCTCCGTACTCTAGGCATCGTAACCGATCGTAAAGGATGTCAAAAACCAAAATCTGCCAACGTTGATTCTTTACTGCGGCTGAAATATTCATTTTTAGAGCGTTAGTGAATTAAAAAAAAGCAGTATAAAAACCGGAATGTCCAACTGATAAGGCTGAAATTTTGTTCACTTGTTATTTACAGTAGGATAAATACATTCACCAACTTTTATTAAAATAAAACCATTTAAACTGGGTGTTCGGATTTATATACCACTTAGAATATTTTCAGAAGCCAATTCAATCTTTTAACATGTATAGTCCGGAAACTTTTTAAATCACCTGGTATATTACTTATTATTAATCTAATTATTGCACTGGCTTTATGACTTTTGTCTCTTTCAATTTATCCCGTCTAAAGGCTATGTAATCCTACTACTATTCTACAACAGCTTAAGATAATACTTTTACTCTCACTATACAGTGTGTTGTTTGTTCAATTACTTCTATTTATATACATATATACGTAAACACCTAGATTTACATATTATTCAAATATTTCACCTTACATAATAACTGTAATGTATTAAATGAAACCGCACCTGTTTCCCTTTTCTCTTTCTATATTCTTGGAAATCCTCCGAAAGTACGTGACCTCGCCCCCTCTCTTTATATTAGTTCTCTAAATCCCTTTCCGTTATTTTCACTGCCCCATATTACGGCGCAAACGGATTCCAAATCCCTTTCAAATGTTAATGCTCCTTAATATCACTTTCTCGGGGTCCTACCCTAGGACAATGACAGGGAGCAAATAACCCCTGGAGAGTGAGAATTTCTCATTTACTCGATATATGCTATTGCATACAGGGTGTTACAGAGAATAGGTAAAAGGTATGCTGCTATTTGCTAACATTGATATAGGTCATTTTGCTATATTTACATATATTTAGGTCAAGCATCCTTATTTATATCTACTCGTACGATAAATTATTGGAAAATAAAATAGCAAGTATTAAGGAAAACGCTTCAAACTTGGCGTATCTTTGGCCATTCTAAGCGTTTTAATTCCATTTTGAACGATTTCTTTAACAGTTTGTATACTGTGTAAGAAATGTTTTTGAAAGTAATGAACAAAAAATATATATATATATAGTATAAAATAACTAAAACCCAATAAATATGCCAATGTTGCAGGTTTTTGTTATTTTTATTTTTTAATAGTGTATTGTAGATGTAAATAAAGATGCTAAAGCTTAAATATAAATTAAGTAAAATGGTTCAAATCGAAACTTTCAATTTTTACGAATAACAAATGCTGCTTTTGAACCAAGAAGAACCTCTTCTGGCACATAATTACTCACCTAGTCAATGCATCAAGTATGTCAGTTCTGTATCTGCAACAAAAACAAAAAATAGGTCGTTACAAATATCCTCAAACATTAAGCAGTCTTCGGTAAAAATAAAAATAATGCTTTGGTTACTTCCGAAATAATTATAATGACAACTTTTTAAGGCAAAAGGTGTTACTACCGATTTTGCGATTCAAGGAACCTATGATTCTTTGCCCCAAAACAGTTTATGTTATTTAAATTACGCAGCGTTATTGAAGTACCAAAATCCAGAAGGTGATTTTTTTTTGTCGATTTCAAGAAGAAAAGTTCATGTAAACATGGGTCCGGTAATGCTTTATTTTCAAGATAGAGGGTGACGAACCTTTTTTCTTTTCGAAAAAGAAATATGTAATAACCCTTCAACCTGTTTTTGTCACCTTTTGTTGAAATTTGTCAGGATGCAGACGTATCACCGAAAAAACTAAAATCATTTGAGAAAAACCGATACGTCTGCGCCTACCAAACTTCTATGAATTTCAAAAAATTGACCAAATAGGTGCTATCATTTTCGCGAAAAAATAAATAATAAAAAAAATTACGCCATGGGCGCATCACCATCGAGTAAACTGTGCTTGCCCTAAAGCAGTCGAGATGTTCCAACACAGAAAGATACAGAGATACTTACGAAAATTTATCAGCAAAATTCAAAGCGCTGCTCAAAATCCCTTATTTTATGATATTTTTTATAAACCCAGTGTTTCTCAAAATGGATGATATCGCAATGGATAATTTTTAATTTATGTCCCCCGCTATTCAATCGTCACGAGGACATTAGTTCCAAGAAGCACTGATCCAGACCACCATCGCCCCCTCCTTAAATTTCCAATTGTCGATAGCAACAATGAACAAACAGTTTTGGGGGGCGCTAGAAAATAATTGATTCTCAAAGTGGGCAGTAGAAGTAATAGGTTTGAGAACATTTGGTCTAACCGATCAGAACGACGTTTAGGCCTCCGTGGTATCCCTTTCCTGGTATTCTTGCATTTCCAAGAATGTTAGAACAGATCCTATCACTTGATCGGTTAGAGGAAACACACCACGAGAATCTCATAAAATAGCGATAAAATTCTCTGAAACCCTGAAGTTCCGCATCTCTCCGTATATTTCAAGAGTCACAAGTTGTCAATATAACTATGAAAACGGTGTTTTTTGTGCATACGATTTTTATCACTTCCATTATTGCGGAATTCCGAAATGTGCGCTGGGTTTTTAATACCCTTGTTTTCATCAATAGGGCAACTTATCTGGATACTGCGAGTTGCTTCACATCTTGGCAGCGGTAAGTGGGTGGAGCGAGAGGCGGGCGTGGTCAAATAGATTTTTTCATCGTTTTTCAGAATTCTCTCGTATATTTTTTTAATATTCCCCAAAATTTTTCCACGTGCCGACGGGATACGATAGTTTACCTGTTATGAGCATCCAAGACGTAACAGAAGCAGTTTGGTAGAAAAGTTATCAAATAACATTGTCTGAAAAACATTTTTTTTTTAAATAATGTGCTCATGACATAAACATTCTTTAACTTAATATGAACACGAAAATTGAATTGAATTGTATCGATATTTTTCAAGAAAGTATGGAAATATGATTCAAAAAATTGGTTTAAAAACATTCGAAAATTTTGGAATAACATGTAAAAAACGTAATAATAGCATCATTAAAGCACTACAGCTCATCGCAAAAGTCCAATCAGCGACCACAGAAAAATGACATACAAAAGCATAACCAACTGCCTTAACGCAAACATGTCATTCTATCCCGATGCGCTTGAAAGCATCGTGTATAGGGTGGTTAAAACTACATTTACCTCAAAACTTAATGAAATTAAAGATCTGTTAATGTTAAAATAAGCTCTAATTAAGTTGGGCGGTTTATTTAAACTTTCTGAAATAAGAATTCCGAATCGTATTTTAGTTTTTATACAAATTCCTTCAAAGTATTCTTAAAAATGATCAAAGCTACCATTAGGAAATAAGTAGACGTAATCATCAAATTACAGTGGTATAATACGGTTTGCCACCATGTACAAGTAGGTATCTCGTGATTTGTCGATATACTGTCATTCAAGGGAGTCCCTAATTCATTTAGTTGGAGAAGGGAGGCTGTCCCGGATGTCTAAAGACCTTATTGAAGGCGACAGGGGCGTTAAAGAGAGTGGTTTTTCTTACCACAGCCTGACGGAATTGCTTTATTCGGAAGTAATCCGATGATGATCGGTGTGATAGATTAATGTTGCAAAAGATGGTGGCATTTTAATTAAAAAGTATTCTGTAAAAAAGTCACTTGGAAATATAAGTGCAAAAAAAACGCTTTAGAAATTTGTCTGTAGGTTGATACGCGGATGAAACGCTCAAGGCATATGGGAATCATAAATCACAAGTAACGGTGTATGAACTCGGTTTCAAGTGGAGGTAGTTAATTCAAAGCCAAGTTCAAACTCAACTTGCACAATGCCACAATCCACCAGGATCCGAAAATAAGTCTAGGCATCAATTACTACTAGAAGAAAAAAATCCTAATCCACGGCAATATTTCAAGAATTATGGTGATTAAGGAGATTGGATTCTTGTAGCCCATTAGCTGTAGATTCAGTTTTTTGCAAGAGGCTTCACACGTATTTTTTCCTAATGTGTTCTACCTTTACTTTGTATTCTCAAAATAAAAGGTTTTGCAAAAATTAAATCACTTAGGGTGCAGCTGATTGAATTTTTGACATGTTTATAAACGATATTCTTTAGAAAAATTGATAACATATTATACGACCTTCCAGAAAGGCATCGTTTCCTACTTATTTTTTGTACGGATCAATTTAGCGATCTGAAACTTGGCAAGGTGAAGTTGACGCCTTGATATAGTTGTGGTCACCTTTCTTGGCATGTCAAAGTAAGACTACCAGTATCCCTGTATATATTTCCACCTCACTCATACATATAGTCAACGCCAAACAAAGTGGCGTGCACGTCATCAAGGTGGGTGTGTTGAAAAATTTACATTGTTGCCAAACTTTTTGTAAAATAATAAAATTTATTATTTACATATCTAGGTTTATAAGCAATATTAACCTCAAATGAGAAAAAAAATAATAGTATAATAAAATTATAGATCTGTACTTGCATAATCATTAAGTATGACAATTATTGATCAGATGACACTATGAAACTACCATATTTAATTGATAGCTTAAAGGTACTGAATAAAAATCCAAATGGGGTCCTCCAAATTTTATGCATGGTATTTATTTTACAGAATTCATACAGAAAAATGCATTCTAAAATTAGGTAAGCTACTGGTGTAAGCTTTTTCTGTACAATAAAGTTAGTCGGAGTTTCTTTCTTCAGCGCTGTCTGAATCTGAATCTTCATCACTCTCAAAGTTGATTATTAAAGGTTCGATGTCTGGTCGATCAAAAATTCGTTCTCTTTCATACCATTTAAAAATTTCTTGCTCAGTATGTCGAACACTATTTTTCCACATGTCTGGGGTAACCGTTTGTAGAGCCTCGTTCCACATATCCAAACAGTCTTTTTCACTGTTACCATCTCTACCAATATGTCTGTTATAGTAACCTTTTGCTATGCCCCAAATTAACTCAATAGGGTTAAATATACAATGGTAAGGAGGCAGACGAAGAACTTTGTGCCCATGTTGTTCCGCCAATTCATCAATCACGTATATTTTAGGTGGTTTGTTTCTAAAAAAGCAGTTATTTTAAGAATAGGAATAAACAAAAGAAATATAAACTGTCGACCAAAATATATATAATTAAGAAGCATTATGTACCGAGCAACAATACTCAATAGCTCTGTTTTAAACATTGTGTTTAAAAATGGTATGTTTTGATTTGTCAACCAGTCTTGGATATTTTTTTTGTCCATGCATTGTTGGGCACTTTGTTCAATATCATGCTGTGATAAGGGGCGTTATCCAGTATAATCATAGATGGACTCTCCAATTTTTCTAATAACTGATGTTGAAACCATTTCAAAAAATTGTCCTGGTTCATCTCTCCATGGTAATCGCTCAATTTTGTTTTCGAAGAAAATATCACTTCACTACCCTCAATAAACCCATTTTCATTTCCAGCATGTAATATAATGTATCTAAAATATATTAGTTTTAAATTTTATAGTGCAAATTGTGTAAAAGTACATACCTTTTACCATCTGTTTTAATAGCTTTCACGCTTTTTTGGTTTCCATTTTGCCAAGAGCGACCTATGGTCCCATTTTGAAATATCCAAGTTTCATCGAGGAAGACAAACTGGTATAAGGCCTCAACCTTGGCTTGATTGTATTGCCTTAGAAATTCCACCCTTTTCAAAGCTATACTTGGTAGTTCCATGAGCCCTCGTCGCGGATTGTCCTTAAGCCACTTAAATCCAAGATCTCTAAGCAACCGCCTTAAAGACGTGGCACTACCATCAAATAATGCCCTATCTCTTAATCGAGACCATAAAGTTTGTATCGTAACTTGTTCTTCTGAAACCATGTGTAATATGACATTATAATTTAGTTAACAAATTAATGCAAATTTCTGATAAGTTATTATAATAAGATCTTACTTTTGTGATACATATTATAGATCACTTCTCGAATGGCACTTGTATCCAATGTCGCTGTGTTGGTTACACGTTTAATATAACTCCGCTTTTTCTTGGGCGATTCTAAATTTGCATCACTTTTCACACCCTCGGAAATACGACTAACTGTCCTTAAACTAATTTTTAAAGCAGCAGCAACACGCTACAAAAAATGAAATAAAATTTCACTATTATTAATATACATTACATATAATTATTAGTAACCTACCTCTTGAACAGCATTTAAAGGCAACAAAGGCCCGTTGTTGTCCCTTTCTTGCTCAAAGTAGTGCATTAACGAGGCCACGAGTTCCTTACACCGACTATTTAACTGTTTGGGCATCTTTATATACCAAAATTGCCTTTATCTACTCGTAAAATGAATAATTTTGTTTTGAAACAAACAGTTGTTGATTTACAGTATGCGGGGCCAAAGGATTTATAAAGATTTGAAATGCCACAAATTGCAAATTGATTCAGTGTCAAAATTAATACAAAAGTCAGTTCCCAGTTTAAATAAGTTTCAAGGTGACAATGTGTCAACGCTGCGAAATCGGTTTAGTGCGTTTACATGTCGATAAGTGATTGGAGCGTTTGCAAAACATTTTATTTCGCATAATGCGTCTAAATTTATCAGAAAGCAACTTGTGTGATATTTTAATAACAATGTTTATATGACTATTAACCATAATAAGAGAGTAATGACCATTTTACAATTTATATATCACATTAATATGAAACTGCAATAGAGCAATTGTTTGTGATAGAAACCTAGGCATTAGGTCGGGGAATTTTTATCGTGATGACGTGCACGCCACTTTGTTTGGCGTTGACTATACACATGCAACCTACCCCTGTGTGTGAGCGTTTGTTCGGTAAGCTCAAAGACATACGTTTTTTAGTAGTGTCTTCGTCTCGAAAACGTTGTCGTTACGTATGAGTGCCCTTCAATCATACTTGTCATAGTGACAACTTACTTGGCATCGGAGTGCATTTGAGTTGTTCTGTTATCAATCTTCAGCATAAAATTGTACAATGCCCGGAAATATGATCAATGGAGAAGGTAGACAGCTCGTGCTAAATTTATTACAGTATTTCCAGTAAGAAAATGAAAACAGAGGTCACCTGTTACCCACTTCATGCGTACTGGAGAGAGTAGCAGATGTGAAGATCCGCCCATGGTACGGCGACGCGATCTGTTTACTTTTTTCATATGGCGTTGATGACGTAACCGCCAAGAACGGTGACCACAACTATACTATATTTTTAAATGAAATGGGTCATTTGATACCTGATTTTGAAGCTCCTTATGAATACTTTATAACCTTAGAGTACTAGGTTTGTCCGGAAAATACGTATAAAAAATTCAAGGCGTTGTGGAGGGGTCGCCCGGTGGTCCCTTTCTCTATGCAATCCCCTCTATGCCAGTGTTGCCAGAAGAAGCGGAATTCCGCTACTGGTAGCGGAGTTTTCAAGTGGTAGCGGCGTAGCGGCGGAATTGGATTTTTTGTTAAAAGTAGCGGAATTTTGCAACTTAGGTACACATGATGGATATTTTTACCACAAAGAAAAAATTGTGTGCAGTGGTAACCACCGGTCGGTAATTCTTATTCAACGGAGACGTTTATAGATGGTAGTAGGTGGTAAGAACACAATCTGTGAAGTGTATTTCCAAAGTATGTCTAATAATTTTAACATTTGCCACATGGTAATACAGATGTCGAGTGGACATTCTCATATATGTTTATAATCAAAACAAAGAAAAGAATCGTATTTTACCTGCAAGTTTGCTCGCGATACTTATCAAACTGGATACAATACAAAAAAATGTTGCTGCTTAGACTTCGAGTTTGGTGAGAGACATTTTAAAAAATACAAAAATAATTTATATAATATAGAGAGAACAGAAATACAACAAGAAGAATCTGATTCAGACAGTGACTAAGTATAAGTAACACAAAAACTTCAATTTTTTTATGCAAAACAGAAATGACCTTTAGTCATATGCTTTTTATTTTTTGGTTTCCTGTGATATTTTTTAATATGACTGCGTGATAAATGTTCTGTTGTTTGACAATTATTTGTAATATTGTATTGGTTTTTATAGTCAAATGTTTTTTTATTACAGTTTTATGTTATATTTTTTCACGGTTTTTGGTTTTCGTTTTCCTTTTTTGACACAACCTGTATAATAAATGCCTCCCTGTTTTATGATAGTGGGCCAACCTCCCTCCCTCCGACGATAATCACCGGGGTAGCGGAAAGTAGCGGAGTTTTTCGATAGCAGTAGCGGAATTTTGAATGTTGGCTCTGGCAACACTGCTCTATGCTCAGTTCGAGCCGGAGCGCTCTGCGAATAAGTATAGGATTTACGTGTGCATGTTGAAAGTAACCCTTTTTTACGTCTGATCGAGGGACAGCGCACCAACATCAAGTTTCTTGCAAAGCTAGGCAAGAATGGTCGTGAGATTTTTTAGTGTTTCTAACAAGCTTACGGAAACAATTATCTGATGGAAACAACCGTCAACAGGTGGTTGAAAAGGTTTAGGGAAGGCCGAGAAGATGTGAAACATGACCAACGCTCAGGACGCCCCTCCACATCGGGCTCTGAGGAAAATGTTGAACAAATTCAGGGCTGTTTTTAAAAATAGTCGATTGACAGAATAATAGCTGAAGAACTAGCAATAACCAAAACAATCATCCACGAAATTCTGACAAAAAAATCTGAAATGAAAAAATTGTAGTACGCGAAATCCTTCCGAGGCTCTTGACTCCAGAACAGAAAGCAAGGAGGGTTGCTTGCTGTGCAGATTGGTTGGAAGCAGAGGAAAGGGCGGACTTTCTCAACCGGGTCATGACTGGAGACGAATTCGATGTGGAGCTGAAATCTCAAATCATGGAGTGGAAGCAAGCAGGGGAATCGAGAACAAAAAAGTCAAAAAGATTAAGGTCCATTTTGGAAACAATGTTGATTGTTCTCTTTGAACTTAACAAGTAATCATCAAATCGTTATAGTATGTGATATCAATATTCTTCTTTTGGAAGAGTTTATCTGAATGTGCAATAAAATATGAGAGACTTTAAAAAAATTGACAGATTTTGAAATTTTTTTAATGGAATGTTCCACATGTTCCAGATATTTGGATAGACGCTCCCAAGAGAAGAATATTTATATAACATATGTTTTGATGTTTGGTTGTACAATTATCAACGACAATATATTACAATTCTATGGTTTTAAATTACTATCATGTGGAGCTTGAAATGAGGTATCGTACGACGTACGACCCATCATACGAGGGATGTCTTTTAAGTTTTGCATATAGAAACATAGTAGGCCGCGCGGATCGAACGTCAATACTGAATCTTAACCTCACTCTTTAGTAAACTTAAATTCAAAGTTTCACAACAATACACTACATTGAATTTTTAAGTGTCACCGAGTCATTAGAAAAATGGAACTCAACCGAGAACATTTTCGCGCCATAATTTATTACAACTTTCAGAGACAATTATCGCAACAAGAATGCCTTGCTGAGTTACTGTTTGTTTTCGGCAACGAAGCGCCACATTAGTCGACAATTTCCCGTTGATATGGAGAATTCAAACGTGGACGGGTGAGTCTTAGCGACGATCCCAGGGTGGGTGCACCAAAAACGGCAGTCACCCAGGAAAACGTCGTTGCTGTGCGCAAACTCATCATTGAAGATAGACATGTGATATATCGCGAGATTGAGGCGTCCTTGAAGATCTCAAAGACCTTAATTCAAAAAATTTTACATGAAGAATTAGGAGTAAGAAAATTAGTTTCTCGTTGGATACCCCACCTGTTGACTGAAGAAGAGCAGAAAGCAGCCAGGGTTAATTGGTGTCAAAAATTGCTTGACCGTTTCAATTCCGGAAACTCAAAAATGTGTACAGCATTGTTAGTGGTGATGAATTTTGGATATACTGTTATGAACCAGAAAATAAACGACAGTCGGCTGTTTGGGTGTTCCAAGGTGAAGAAAAGCCAACAAAAGTCATCCGTTCTCGAAGAGTCTCGAAAAAGATGGTCGCGAAATTTATGTCAAAAGCGGGTCATATTGCAACTATTCCTCTTAATGAGCAAAGAACTGTTACTGCGGATTGGTATACCACCATTTGTTTGCGAAAATTCATCACCGAGCTTCGAAAAATCAACCCCGAAAGAAGAATCATCCTCCACCAAGACAATGCAAGCTCGCACACAGCCCAAAAAACAAGGCGGTATTTAACGGAAGAAAACGTGGAATTATTGGACCATCCTCCATATAGTCCCGATCCAAGTCCAAACGATTTCTTTACGTTCCCGAAAATTAAAAACAGACTGCGTGGTCAAAGGTTCCAGTCACCAGAAGAAGCAGTGGAATAAGGGCTTCGAAAATTGGTTCGAGCGCATGCAGATGTGTATTAATCTTCGTGGAGAATACTTCGAAAAACAATAAAGTCATTTGAAACTACCTACCGCGTTGTTTTATTTCCATATGCAAAACTTAAAAGTCATCCCTCGACCATTTTAAAAAGTTCCGAAATGATGCCCGACCGCTATCTTGAAATTTTCAACTTGCACTTTTGCTCTGAAACATAGTATTCATGAATCAGTTTTATTAGCCCGAATTTCAACTTTCTTCATTAACGCGTTCAGAAAATAAGTAGCATGGGGGGAGGGGCGTCTGTTTGAAAAGTACTGTATAGTATTGAAACAGTCATTAATAAAACAAAGTTAGTTAATTTTATAAATCTTTCATGAGCATTGTGCCAAGGTATCTAATTATTGTTTCCTTTCAAAATTCATAATTTACCATAGGCATTTCAAAGAGTATTACTGACGCACTCAGAATCTTAATTAACGTTTACCTTGAAAATAAAAAGGTGCCGCTTAAACCTATTTTAGGTGATTTATATGTATTTATTCATCTGTTTGAGGTTCATGATAGTATATTCCGGAAGCAAGTTTCTTCATATCAACTAATCACTAAAATCCACATCTGCTTCCTGATGGTAACAAGATATACAAGTCGCACATGTAAGTAGATATTCCATATGTGGATTACAAATATCGCCCAGACAGTTACCTAATTGGTTGGAAAAAAGTGTATCGTATACATATCAGGCAGTGAAAGACTACAGTGTAACGTAGTTGATACAGTTACAAGCTAACCCAGGCTCTTTAGCTTTGGAAATTTAATTCATATTTTTTACTGAATCTTGAAAAAATGGCGTCAAGTAGATTATGTTTGGCAAAACATAGTCACTCTGAGCTACGAACATGTATGGATATAAAATTAAATGTATCGAGCCCATACAATTAGTCCTTAGTCTCACAACATTTGACAAAGTTGCGATCTAAAAATGTTTTCCCTGCCTACCGACCATCTGACAACGTTGCTATGACTCACCCCGCCACTCGCCAGCCATCCATCGGTGCATAGGTCGATTGTTGGTCTGAGCCAACGTACGTGGAATATATCTGTATCATTCATTCAGGTTTTAAGTGCAAATATATGGGACAATCTGATGTTGGAAATACGTCTAATGGGTGAGATACGCCCTACCCACCACAATGTTTAACCTCCATAAAAAGTTTTTTGACAAAATGAAGCATGATTATTTTTTTGTTTTTTGCCTAGGCATTCGCTGCCACTGGATCGATTTTCAAAACCAAAATCTTTTTAGTCGTTGGCACAGTGGTAACCGATAGTACTTTCCAATTTATAGAAAAACATGAAACTGCGTTCTGAAATCGTTTAATTTTGGCTCATAACCCTTCCCCCAAGGGAATGGAAAGTTTCGGGTGAAAAATTACAAAACGATTAAAAATTTCATGGGTAGACATAGATAATATAATAAAATAATAATAATTTGGTGACTGAATAGAGATTGGTTCGTACTCGTTCCTTCCTCCCATTTTTTCCTGTTTGTTTATGAATTTGGAATTCTCTATGATAATTTTCTATATCAGCCTTATTTTAACAAGAAGCCGGTAGGGGTACCTATCATGTAACTTTGAAAAGCGACACTGGGTAAGAATTTTGTGAAATTACGTTATATTTCTTACGTAATGTCGTTTTTTGTCTACTAAATATCAACTTGAAACTAGCCATCGTTCACTCCATGTTCCATAGTAGTAGCACTAGATGTGCCCTAGCGGGTACTTTATTTAACCTATTGAACACTTTGACATTACGTTCGATTTTTTTGTAAGTGAGCTTTTTCTTAATACCCCTGTGGACAAAGCAAACACAAAACATTGAACCCCTACTAATGGGTGATTTTTTGCTAGTATGGCAACACTGTTTTTGACAGATGACGCGTGAATCGTGTCTTGTGTCATTGTCAAACTTGTTCAGTTTGGTCTATAATTTAACCATGAATCAACTTACGAACGAACAACGCTTGCAAATTATTGAATTTTACTATCAAAATTCATGCTCGGTTATCGAGCACTGCTTCCAATTTATGGGCAATTTGGTCGGCCTACTGAGGGAGCTATTCGGAAGCTTGTGACTAAATTTCGAACCCAGTTTACATTATTGGACATTAAACACGCAGACGTAGAGTGAGGACTGAAGAAAATATTGCGGCTGTATCCGGCAGTGTTAGTGATGACCGTGAAATGTCGATTCGCCGCCGTTCGCAGCAATTGGGCCTCTGTTACTCCACTACGTGGAAAATTTTGCGACAGGATTTGGGTGTAAAACCTTATAAGATACAGCTGGTGCAAGAATTGAAGCCACACGGCCTCCCACAACGTTTCCAATTTGGTGAATGGGCGCTGGCAAAGTTGGAGGAAGATCCACATTTTTATCGAAAAATTGTGTTCAGCGACGAAGCTCATTTCTGGTTGAATGGGTACGTTAACAAGCAAAATCGCCGCATCTGGAGTGAAGACCAGCCAGAAGCATTGCAAGAGCTACCAATACATCCCGAAAAAATCATTGTTTGGTGTGGATTATGGGCCGGTGGCATCATCGGGCCGTACTTCTTCAAAGACGACAATGGCCGGAACGTAACTGTGAATGGCGAGCGCTACCGTGCGATGATAACAAACTTTTTTTGCCCAAAATGGAATAGCTGGACTTGGCTGACATGTGGTTTCAACAAAACGGTACCATATGCCACACCGCACACGAAACAATGGCGCTATTGAGAGGCGAGTTCGGTGAACAGTTTATCTCACGTTTGGGGCCCGTCAATTGGCCGCCTAGATCGTGTGATTTAACGCCGTTGGAATATTTCTTGTGGGGCCATGTTAAGGCTAATGTCTGCAGGGATAAACCAGCAACGATTGACGCACTGGAAGCCAATATTGAAGCATTTATTCGTGAGATACCGGCCGATATGTTGGAGAGAGTGTGCCAAAATTGGACCTTGCGCATGGGCCATCTCAAGCGGAGCCCCGGCCAACACTTACATGAAATAATCTAAACATTAAATTATATCGACTCAAATAAAGATTTAATCGTTTTTTCAAATTTTTTGTTTTTTTGAAAATCAAATCCTATACCTCTTAAAAAATCACCCGTTACTATTCGTTATTTGTATGTCTGGGCAGTCCGTAGGATCTTTGTCCATTAGTCACTGTCTAAATTACATTAATCGAATCTGTCAGTCCTGGTAGTCCAGAAAGGGAAAGAAGAAAGGGAAAAAAGAAAAAAGGAGAAGAGCAAAGTAAAACAGCAGTGTATCAGTTTAAGAGGAATGCTTTTTGACTTAATTTTGACGTGAACCAAAAACAAATTTTGATTCAGGTTTTGTTAGAGTGTAATTTTGGGTTTACTGAAAGTTAGCGGTAATTTTTATCACAGTGCGAGCCGCGGCCTTGAATTGTTACGAACTTACTCGACTGTGTAGTCCACTGAGTCACAGAACAGAGGGTTGCTGTGCAATTCCGTTTGACTGAACATTGAACCCCACGAAACAGTATTTGATGTATCATGAGCGGAGCATATTTTGTTTATGATGGAAACAATCGCGACCGCTCCGGTAGCACTCAAAGTGATCATCTGCGTTCAGCAGAAAATAAAGGAGCGCACAAAAATACCATCACCATCCTTCACATGTATTATAAAATGACTGCACCATGAGTGTGATATCACATTCCTGCTAGTTTATTTAACTCGAAAAGTAGAGCGTTTGTGGCTCGTAAATTCACACATTGTCAGTAAATAGATCAAAACAGCTTTTAATGACTAAATATTTAGAGCGTGGCAAAACAGCGGCTTGTTATACAGATGCGTTTATTATTTATTGTGTTTATGTAGAACGCAATATTATTTTTTACAGTTTCATTATATTCCTAATTATTTGTTTACGAACTTGGTGGTACCGACGAGCAGTTGATTGAATTTAATGCCGAGCATGAAACTTACTGTTTATGGTTTATAGCCAAAAGTGGTCGTTAACTGAATTTCCCAGAAGACAAACATGATACTATGATATTCCATCTTTTACAACAAGGATTAAATGGCCATGCAAGCTTTTATAGTTAAAGTGGAAATTTCAATATGGCGACAGGGCGCTTTCTTGTTTTAAAGTTACTTTATGACTATAAATGGCGATCTGGCAAGCTGTCAAATTTGATAATCGATTATAGGTACATCGACTCGCTTATATCTCGACAACTAATCATCAAAACAATATAACATGGTATACCAATCAATATTCTTCTTGTGGTAGGGTCTACTTGGATGTGAAACAAAATATGGGACATTCCGTTTCAGAAACTGGACAGATTTTTTTGATGGAATGTATAAAAATGCTCAAATTTGTCAGCCTGCCATCCCATCATTTTCGAAAATAGTGATCTCATATTCTATCGTAATAAATTACGTATGAGTATGTTCAAAAATTAAGTATCACATGAGCACCCATTCCATTTGAAGAACAGTCATATTGGTATTTTCAACGACGAATTTTACGCTAAAATATAATATCTATGCATCAATTTCATTAATCTAAATGTCATCTTGCTAACTTGACCCTCTCAAAAAATAAAGAATAATCAAAATAAGTTTTTAGAGGATTCCTAACGATGCTTTAAGCATAAATAGATGAAATATAAATAAAATAAATAAATAAATAGGTGTTTTACAAAACAAAAATACAAACTGATCTAAAAAGCAGGCAAATTCTGATCCAGGGCCACTCTAACTTAACTTGCTAATCAGATAATATACCATCAAATGCAAATGAAGAATTTTTAACACTAACTAGTCTCACGAAAAGTGAATGCTTCCTTTTTACAATCAACACAAAAAATAATAAGAAATGACATACAGTAACCTCATCAAATGCAATAATTAATCCGGTAATATGTATCTAGAAGACTTAATGGGTCCGTTTGTACTCTTCATTTTGTTTACGAAAAAGTGTTGTTTTCAAAATGGACTTGAATTTAGCAGCTGCTGCAGTTTTCATTTTACTGGCCAAAGAGTTGTAATACTTGACCGCAGTGTTTACAAAGCTTAAAAAAACATTTTTATAGTTTTTCAAGCATTCTATGGTCGTTGTTTAGGATTAGGCCATCATTTTCAAGGCCAATGACAACATTTCGTTACCTGTATGATTGTATGAATACATACGTGGGACACATTTAACGTAATAACCGATTGCGGATAGTGCCCGCGCAACTTGTCACGTGACGTCCGCTCAACCTCGGACACTCTTGGCCAGTCGCTTACTACGTCGCCATTACGTTGCCATGCCACCATGCCAAATCATCAAGCCCCCCGATTGTGAAGTGCCCTACGTAATTCTGTATTTAAACGAAAAAAAAAAGGTTCGTCCTGTTGAAGTTTACCGGCTAGTTCAAGTCATTATTGAAAATTAGGCGCGCTATTCAAATACTCAAAGGGGCCAACTATCTGGCTTCTGCTTCACGACAACGCTTGGCCTCGTGTTCCAGCAAGAACACAGACGCAACTGCTAATGGGAACCTCTTATTCAGAAGTGTGAATACATGGTTTTACATGGAATGAATAAAAAACTGATGCAACATTATTTAGAACTAAGTCGAGTTAGGTGGTTAAGCCACAATGCTTTGATTCATCATCAAATGCAGTTGAGTGAAAGTGTACAATTCTTGGGCATCTATATTGATGAGTTTTTAGAATGAACAACACATGTATTCGAACTGCTGAAGAGACTTAATTCCATTTGCTATGGTTTTAGGGTAACATCAAGATATGTAAATAATTCGAGTATGAAAATATTGTACTATGCAAATTTTGAAAGTGTTGTAAAGTGCGGGATTATTTTTTGGAGGCGCACTCGGTTTATTAAAAAAAATTTGTTGTTCAAAAAAGGGCAGTACGTCTGATCAAGGGACTAAATTTCAATGAGACTTGTAGGGAAGTGTTTAATACTGAAAAATTCTTGACTATGTATGCCATCTATGTGTATGAGAGTGTCAATGTTAGTTATCCAATACATAGATTATCATCCACAGAAAAAAGCCCTATTTACATGTGTTTAAAATTTTTCAATAATCTACCAAATGAAATCAAAAACATCAACAGTTTACATAAATTTAAAAAGACCATTAAGCAATTTCTAGTAAAGTCAAAGCCTTATACCATAGATGAGTTCTATGTGAGTTGTAATATACTAAGTGACATATAAATCCGAACACCCAGTTTAAATGGTTTTATTTTAATAAAAGTTGGTGAATGTATTTATCTTACTGTAGATAACAAGTGAAAAAATTTTCAGCCTTATCAGTTGGACATTCCGGTTTTTTTCAATTCACTAACACTCTAAAAATGAATATTTCAGCCGCAGTAAAGAATCAACGTTGGCGGATTTTGGTTCTTGACATCCTTTACGATCGGTTACGATGCCTAGAGTACGGAGACCTGTACGATTTCGTCAACTTAGTGAGTTTGATAGGGGCCGTATAGTGGGACT